CTCCTCCATCATCAATGACATCACATGGTCAGACCATGCTGTCATCTCCTTAATCCTAGAGGAGGAGGACACCTGTCCTAAAACATTTGTTTGGCGCTGTCTTTTTACAGATGACATAATTTTGATGTTCTCTAACCCTATCTCATTACCCAATGCCCACCAAGTCTTAGGCTCTTTTAGCACAGTTTAATATTATAAAGTAAACTTTTCCAAATCACTGATTCTGGACCTAGGTCTCCTGAAGCCCATACGTGCTCAGCTCTTAGCTAACTTTCCTTACTCCTGGTAGGATGGAAGTATACCCTACCTGGGGATTACCTTAACCCCGCAATCCAAAAAATGGGAAGAAGCCAATTATAAACCTCTGATTGGTAAACTAGCTAAAGAAACACAAATACTCTAAATGTAAATTATCTTGGATGGGCAGACTAGCTACATTCAAATTGATGCTCTTACCACAAATCTTATATAAATTTTTACAATTCTTCCAATCCCAGTGCTTATATACGATCTCTTACTTCCATACTTAAAAAATGTGTCTGTCAAAATAAAAAAAGCACGCAGTCCTTATGCCCACCTAATCTATCACAGGAAAGTTGGTGGAGTGGGAGCTGTGGACATCAGTGACTATTGGTTAGCTACACAACTTGACTCAGTTAAAATAGTGGTTCTATCCATCTCAGGACAATCTATGGGTAGAGATTGAAGCATTCACATTAGGTACATCTAACCTTAAACTACATTTACTAGCTGACCTATGGAAGCCTATACCTATACAAACATTTAGTATCACAGTCAAAGCATCATTCCTGGCCTGGAGCGTGATTGATCAACCCTCTCTTTATATAACACATAATCCAACTATCTACACCCCACTTGCCACATTAGAAATTCTTATTCCCTATCCTTCTATGAAGAGATGGCAGGAAGTGGGTATAAGCTGGATAGAAGACCTTCTATCCAGACCGACTCCCAAGCCAAGCCCTTACCAGAGCTTGCACAATCATTCTGTATACCACCAACAGACTACTTCACCTACATGCATGTATCATTTCTGAGGAAATCTACAAAGCCTAATTTCCACATTCACCCCAAAGCCTGGATGTTTTTCACAGGCTTCATGTCACACATTAAAAAGGTATATCCTTTTTCTACTCCCTCCTCCAAAACAAGGAGATCTTTCACAAAACTCCTCCCATGGTTCAGTCAGATCTCCATCAACTGTTCACTGAAGATCAATGGTCACTAGTGATACACCTATCGCAGACTGTTACCCACTGTGTGAACCACTGGGAATTATTCAGTAATTTACCTTTCTGCTGGAGAGGATGTGAACAGTTAGGTGCAATTTTCCACATTTTTTGGTATGTAAAAGCCTAACTAGTTTTTTTAATAAAATCTTTCAATGTATCTCCCAGATTACAGGGATAATCACCAGGCCCAATCCGGGATTAGCCCTTCTGTGCTTGGGGATTGAACATTTCCCTTTGGAATTTCATAGTAGTACTTCGAAGTCAATCATTGTCAGATTGTGGGGGAGAGACTTGGCACCTAATGCCTCTGAAGTTATAGACATGTTAAATGTTTTATTTTATGAATATGAAGAAACTCTTGCTATTAGAACTGGTTCTTATAAAAAAAACTTCATAGGTGCTGGATTGCATGGCTCCAATGGTTGTCTCCGCTACACTGAATGATGTTATGTCTAGTCAACGTTGCTCAGAATAATTTCAATGTAGAAGTATCTCTGTCCTGTTTTATTCTCATTACGTTATTGTATGTTCTCTATAAAGGAAATTAAACTATTTAGATCTTCAAGGAAATTAAACTATTTAGATCTTCATGTAATTGCTATGTCAAATTTAATAAAAATCTATTGTAAAAAAAATTCTAATTTTCAATACCAGTCTCAGACCAGCTTTGTATGATATTGCATAAGGGAGCTGAAGAAGATGAAGTCTTTGTTTAACATTAGTGTATCTTAAACATTGTTTTTGTACATCTGCCGATAAGCCAGGAAAAAAAAAAAAAAAAAGGTGCTATGAAACCATTAAGTTCAATCACTTCTTTAGTGCATGCTTTGAACAAGATAATGTTGAGATCCTTAGAATTCTAAATTAATTTTCAAAATGAATAGTCAAGGGAGACAAAGGGTGAGCAGGAGACATAAAGCGCCCTTCCACTGCATAGAGTAGAGTAAAACAGTCTTTGCCAAACACTTCCAATAGCAAATGCTCCATGATTTCAGTAGGTACCTTTCCACCGCCTCATGTAGGCCCAAGATGCTGAGGTAGTTTCTTTTTAATCTATTCTTTATATCTTCCTGTAAAGGAAATTTGTAAATTCTGCATACAATTGTATTCTATTTTGTATGCTTTGCCTATGTATTGTACCCTGCACTCATTGTGCACAAAGCACTAGCAATGTTTTCATTTGCATTCTTTCAAGACCTGATTAGAAATTAGCCTACCTATGTAACACCCTTTATTACCATAAAAGTACAATTGTAATATTAATGTGATACCTAAGTAATCGCGTGTATGAAAAAAACCGTCAAATGGGCCTAATAGAAAAGTGATTTGAAAAGATGCTGAGTGTATCTTTTTGTGTCTGTTCCCTACTGCAGTAGTTATTAATTTGGAACTACTAATCAATATGATAGGAGTTGCCTATCTAACATTTTTAGCATTACTGTCCAGAACACTTCCAAATGACTAGAAGGTTGGTTAAGTGTTGTTTTCATTAACTGTGTTTCCCTTGTCAGGGGGATATTTTGTTTTTCAGGGTGGTAACCCTACTTTCCACAGTAGAGGCGTGCTCCCTCATTTTTCACATATCGTGACAAAAAAAAATTAAAAATCACCACCTCTTGAGCTGACATGAGAAATTTGTCAATGAGGTGTTGCAAGAGTGCACTGCTTTAAATTAATTGTATGAAATATGTATTTCAGTAATCTGTGCCCCTGGTTTTCAGCTAGAGTTTCTGCCAGGGTTGGGAGCAAAGCATTTCAACTTATTTGTGAGCTTCGTCATCAGGCACTGCGACTATGGACTGATGCCATATTAGAAGGCTCAGTTGGCAGCGGCCTTATCCTTGTTTCTTTATGGCTGGTTCACACCAGAATGCTGTGCGGGACAAAAGTGTTCCGTGTTCATTTCCGATACCGCATTAAAATGTATTGCCTTGGTGATCTGCTGTGGGTGTTAATATGTTAACGGAAACCCTAAACGCAGATCTCAAACCCCAGTGTTTTTGAAAAGTAGTCATGCACTTTTTGTGCGATCCAGTGCAATTTGCAGCCCAAGAAATAAAAACAAAGGGATAAGGTACAATCCCACTCACTGTACAGAAGCAACTGTAGCCACAGGGAATTCAAGATGAATTCTAGAAGAGAAGGCAGGAAAGCATGCTTGTGGACCCTTCTTCTGAGCCAGTTATCATGGCTGCAATGTTTCCTATAAACCCAGACGTAGTTGTTGGGAATTCTTCTCTAGATAAAACCAAGGAAGGAGTTACCCTTGAAGGGGTAAAGGAGACTAAAGAGTGCTGTGGCTCAGGCAAAGAACTGTGGTCCAGGCTATTGTGTCAGGCCCCTTAGTGAGGACAATGTAGAGTCCATTGCTCAGAGGGCACATTACTGGCTAGACCACCTTCTTCACAAGCATGATTTGGAAAACTGCAAAATGAGCCGAGGTGGCTCTGCAGCAACTGAGAAAAAAAAAAAAAAAAAAAAAAAGAAAGGGTTTGCTTCTCTATGAGCAGAGAGATGATGTCAGTTCTCTTAGATCACAAGCAAAAAATGGAGCATGCTATGAGTGGGAGGGTTATACTGTGCTGTTCTTACAGCAATGTTTGCCAGTGTCCAATCTCATGAAGGCAGCAGCATACGCCACTGTCCCCGAATATTTAATTCTTTGTCTCAAAAAGTACAATTAACCACTTGATGACCGCCCTATAGCAGAAATACTGCTACAGGATGGCAGCAGTGAGCAAAATCACATATATATATATATATATATATATATACCTGATTTTGCATTTCCAGGTAGGGGGCACGCACAATCTACGTGTGCGCCCTACCTGCGCTGCCAATCATAGGGCAATTACTCGCTGGATCCTGGTGATTTCTGAGGATCTCCGATGGGGAGGAAGATTGTTTTTTGTTTACTAACAGTCCTCCTCCCTGTCAGCTCAGGCACAGCACAGCCATCCACAGCACCGTGATTGCAGTGAATCACACACATCCTGCCCCCTAGTAAAACACTCCCAGCACACAGTGAACCCTCTGATCGCCCCTCATGTTAACCCCTTCCTGCCCAGTGCCATTAGTAGTGTCATTTTTTTTTTTTTTTCTTTAGCACTGATTACTGTATTGCTGTCACTGGGGATATCAGTGACACCAAGTCAGTTCCCCCCAGTGTCAGAATGTCCGCCGCAGTCCCACTATAAGTCGCTGATCACTGCCTTTACTAGTAACAATGAAAAAAAAAACCCCAGCTTATATACCGCCATTTGTAAACGCTATAACTTTCACACAAACCAATTAATGTACATGTATTCAGATTTTTTTTTTTTCCAGCAAAGACAAGTAGCAGAATACATTTTGGCGTAAATTTATGACGAAATTTGTTTAAAATTTTTATTCTTGGACATGTTTAATAACAAAAAGTCAAAAAATATTGTTTTTTTTCTCAAAATTGTCAGTCTTTTTTTTTTATATAGCGCAAAGAATAAAAAAACAGCACAGGCAATCAAATACCACTGAAAGAAAGCTCAATTTGTGGGAAAAAAAAAAAGATGTAAATTTCATTTGGGTGTAGCACTGCATGACCGCACAATTGTCAGTTAAAGTAACACAGTGTCATAAAGCAAAAAATAGCCTGTCAGGAAGGGGGGTAAATCCTCTGGAGGGCAAATGGTTAAGAAAAGCAATTATGACATTCTGAAAAAGAAAAAAAAACAAAAAAAAAAAAAAACCACAATATACCAGTTTTCCTACCTTGTGTAATAACGACATAGATGTATCTGTAATCAAAATTTTTGTTTTCTCTCCAATTGTTGAAATAAATGTTTTGGTTTCTGCCATTAACTTTTCATCGTGCAACTAAAAAAAAGAAAATATCTGTCATGAATAGGAAGCACAACTCTTTTGAGTCACTGATTTATGTTGTATGGAGAACTATGGATAGCAAACGGCAAATATTGAGTATCCCTACAAAACTGTCCATTCCCCAACATCTCAACTAATAGGTGATGAGTGTGAGATTTATCTTTATAGAGAATGGCTCTAATAAAGCATAGGTTCATAAGCAAGCCTTCATCAATACAAACGTTTTGTTGATTTCCTCTCAAGAACACTGGAAATTCAACACCAACTGAACAAAGTAGCTAAATTTCTTGATATGCAAAACATGAAAAGGTTGACAAAGCTTCAGAACAGGTTGAGAGACCTTGGTGTAATGCCATACAAGATTTCATCTGTAAGTAGCACTGCAGTAAAAATGTGTTTTTGTGGGGAAACCCTCCATATTACAGGGAGAAATCAAATAGAAAGGGGAATTCTAGTTTCCCCAAAATACCCATTAATTTCTACAACAAAGTGCACAACTTTTTTTTCTGTTTGCCAAATGAGCCTACCTCCATTGGTGATAATCAAATGTACACCCATTTCCAGGTACCCACACAGAGAGAGGTAATGACTTTAGAAGGGTGACTGAGAAGAAGAAGAAGGAAAAAAAAAAAAAAAAAAAAAGAAGTAAAATCATCATTTCAGGAGACCGCTTGGAAATGTTGGATCTTCTGTTTAGTTTTTATTTCAGTTTGTGACTGGGAGGCACCACCTCACTTCTGGATCTCAGCATAACATTAAAAAATAAAAAAAAATCTAAATGTTCACCACATATTATTTACAACTGTTAAAAGGATACGTTCGCCTTTTGGACAACAATAAGAAATGCACATTTTTTTGCAGGTAAAAATAAATGCGTATTAGTGTATTTATTATTTTTGTCCAAAGGAGTCTGGAAAGCACTGCACAAGCAATCAGTAGATCGCTGATGCCATGCAGGTCTAGGTTGCTTGCCATACGGGATGTACAAGCAAGCAGATATACTGACAAAAAGCTTCAATGAACTACCACGGCGCTCTACAGCTCTGTCAGAGGGAGGGAGGGGGGTGGCAGGCTTGGCTATGGGAACATGTAACATGTTCCAAACGTGAACTTATCCTTTAAAGTGGTTGTAAACCTCAGACATGAAATATGAACAAAGCATATCCTTCTATAGTGTGTACTTGTCTCAATTAAAAGTACAATTTCTGTCTGCTGCTTCGTTCCTCTGCTATAAGCATGAGTCACTTCTGACAGAAATGACACTTAGTACTTAAGACTGAGACAACCACACACTACAGATGAATATGCTTTGTTCATCAAATCTGTCAGATTTGAAAACCGCGTGGCCACGCGAGGCTCCACCCACATGGCCGTGTCACTCATTCACAGTGTTCTGTGAATGAGTCCCTACAATGCAATGGTGGGTAAGCAGCGGCCCTCCAGATGTTGTGGAACTATATTTTCAATGAGGCATTACAAGACCGACAGTTATAACCATAACTCCTAGAGGCATGATAGGACTTGTAGTTCTGCAACAGCTGAAGGACCAAAGGTTGCCTGCCCACCCCTGCCTTAATGCATTCTCTACATTAAGGTAAAAACTGTTCTATCACCTGTATTGTCCCTCACTCCCGCTTATATTTACCTTCGTTCTCGCTCGATCCAGTGCTGTGCCCACCTGTAGCGGCTCTCTCCACTCTCACAGGCTTTGCTGAGGCAGTGGGAGCCACCAGTCAGTCAAATCCCATGTTGAGGGGCCAAGCCGCGCTGCCTGTGTCTATGCCACCATAAGGAGTGGTTTCCTATGGTGACACAACGAGAAGAGGAGGATCCAGAAGCTCTGGAAGGGGACCCCTGAAGAGGAGGATTATTGATGCTCTGTGCAGTTCTATTTCACAGAGTAGGTATGTATAACATGTTTGTCATTTTAAAAATAATTTTAACATTTGACCTTCCTCCTGTTTTTGTAGCAAAATCCCAATTGCACTGAGACCATATTTTTAAAGAATAAAGATTTATTTCAAAGACATACAAAAAAGAAAAAGGCACAGGAGTGCTTACAATATTATCTTAACACATGGTGTGGTCAGGTCTAAATGCAACGTAAACATGCATTATGAAGAAAAAGAGAGGGAAACCTCCCAGTTGGAAAGGTCTATTACTTTTTCTAGTGTAGTAGTATAAAACATGTGACTGCTGTCTTTTTAGAGTGGACCTGAGAGAGTATCTAATTTATAGGTTTTATATGGCTTTACAAAACATGCAAAGGCCAATATGTGTGTCCTGGCCTATGAAATCAGAGAAAAAGAACAGAAGGGCGCATTAAGGTAACGTGAGATATGTAAAGGAAGGATATAGAGCATTTAAAGCTAGATATGATTAAGGGGAAGACAAGGGTGAGGGAGGGATAAAGGTGTTTGGTGGAAGGGAGGTAAGCTACACAGACATATGGCCTTGAATTAGGCGTTTATAGGAGAATTGTTTTGAATTGTGGGGAACCTAAGAAAAAAATCCAAATAGTCCCTGTGATTGTGTCTGAGGGGTACCTGCCACTGTGCTGGGCTACCAATTGTTTTAGGAGCTAGAGCTCAGTATGAACAAACCCTGTTAGCTCAATATGAACAAACCCCTTTTACTACTGTGTAGCTGCACCCTAAACTATAAGTGCCCTATATACAACTATAGAGATGCTGCAGTCACTCAGTGTCACTCTAATTCTCAGAGTAAACAGAATAAAAACTTCATAGTGCTTTATGGATTTAAAATAATTTATTAAATCCAATTTTACACACGTCCACTCACCTGTATAACTGCACTTTAACTCTGTGCACCAAAGATGTCAAGTGCCATTATAACAGTTTTTTAAAGGGTTACCAGCAATCCGTATCTCCCTAAGGAAATCACGTGACTGGTGATGAAACATGTTGGGTGGAGCCTGAGTGACATCATCAAGTAGAGATGAACTAGGAAGTGACCTTTTTTAAAAAGGCATGTATACCGATTGCTAGAAACATAAAAACAGTATGTATGTATACATGTGAGTGGATATGCGTGAAATTTGTTTTACTAAATGTTTTTAAAGCGATAAAGCACTATGAAGTTTTTATGTTTACCTTTACCTCTGAGAAATGGATGAGAGAGCAGGCACCTTCTGGAGTTGGAGGCTGACAGATCCCTTAAAAAAAAAACTAAAAAAAAAAAACAAAAACAAAAAAAACACGTGTGTGTGTGTGTGTTTTGACCTGTTGCAACATATAGATCAAAAACAGGTGGTGAGAGAACATCTGGTGTTTGAGCATAAGTGCTAGTGGCGAGTGAACAAAGGACCACCTACAGTGGTTATGTCTGCACAGTGTGGAGTGGACTAACAGACGCACAGAGAGACTGTTAAACATACAATATAAAGTTGTGCGATTATTAAAAAGCCACAGAGAACGAGAGAGAGATACATTTTTTTTATTTTGATTTTTTTATGATATATGCTTTTTAGTATCATATTGGAATACTCTATTGTATTGGAAAGGAGTGAGCAGTATACCAAGCAACTGTGGGAGTAGATGTTGTATTCCATTGTCTCAGAATATCATTCATGGCAGCAAGTACAAAGAAACGAAGTAAGCCTGGGGGTCAAAAATGCAAATGTTTTTATTGTTATCTGTGCCTTCCTTAACAGGTGACTGGAGTTTCCTATTTTTCTGCACTAAAACAGTTTACACAAATGAAAAAGAATTTGGCTGGATTTACGCTTTTATTTAAAAGCTCTAAATCTACACACTGCAGGCCTCACATTAACCAATAGGGGACTGCCCATAGTATATATATACTGCGGCAAAGCGGCCCCTGTAGGCGGGATGACGTATATAAACGTGATCCTTGTTTACATGCTAGGGGGCGTGCGCAAGGCAAGTGACCGCCCTGCCCGCGGCACCGATCGTGGCCGCGGGTGTAAATCACCGGGTCCCGGACGGTGTTTACCCGCTGGTTCCCGGCGATTGCCGGCAAACAGTGGCACAGAACACAGCTGCCTTGGTTTCAGTGTAGCTCTGCTCCGTGTCAGTTCCCAGCTCACTGTTCCGGAGAACAGAGCTTAGCTTTCCGGGACAGCATACAACAGTGAAGTTCACACCCCCCCACTAGTAAAACACTCCCCTCACAGTTAACCCTTTGATTGCCTAAGAATGTTAACCTCTTCCTCCCCAGTGCCATTAGTACATTGTCAGCGTTTTTTTTTTTGCACTGATCACTTTATTGGTGTCATTGGGGATGTCGGTGACCCCAAGTCAGTTCCCCCCAGTGTCAGACTGTCCGCCGCAATCCCGCCATAAGTCACCGATAGCCGCCATAAGTCACTGATTGCTTATGCGAAAAAAAAAAAAATTCCAGTATCTATACCGCCATTTGTAAACGCTATAACTTTCACATAAACCATTTAATTTACACTTATTAGGATTTTTTTTAACAAAGACATGTCGCAGAATACATTTTGACTGAAATTTATGACGATATTTGATTTTTACTGGGCATGTTTTATAGCAAAAAGTCCAAAATATTGTTTTTTTTTTCCTCAAAATTGTTGGGTTTTTTTTTATAGTACAAGAAAATAAAAAACGCACAGGCGAACAAATACCACCGAAAGAAAGCCTAATTTGTGGGGAAAAAAGGATGTACACGTTATGTTTGGGCAGCGTTGCATGACCGCGCAATCGTCAGTTAAAATGACGTGGCACCATAACACAAACCGCTTATGTAACCACTTCCTGACCGCCCTATAGCAGAAATACTGCTACAGGGCAGCACAGGTGTGCAAAATCCCATATATATATATATATATATAATATATATATATACACACACACACACACACACACACACACACACACACACACACACACACACAATATATGTGATTCGCGCCCCGTGGTTTTCGCACCCCTCCCAGTTAGCGTTAGATTGCCGTCAGTACACCAGTCATCACATTT